TGTACTTGCAGAATAATTCCTCTTCGATAGGTCTACATCTCGTCCATTTCCATTTAACAGATAGTTTCTGTTGGTATGAATTTTGTTAGCCTGGGGATCCTAAACCTGGATGAGAAATTGTTGTTTAACCATATCCCAATAGCGATGATAAATTCACTTTTGAGTCCATTCTTCCAATCGAGAGGGGAAAATGAACTTCGTCCTACGAGCTTCTTGGCCGGATTGTCCAAGAACAGCTCTTTTCAACAGAGGACCAAACAAGATTATTTAATTTCAAACCCTGCTTCGTTTACAGGAATTTTTTATCGGGGGTTTTACAGATACACATTTGGCTAATTCTCACTAGCAGTCGAAAAAAAGAAGAAAAAACTGCTAACACAGGGCTGCAATTTCAGCCCTGCAAACTGCGTCCTGGCAATTTGCCCTGTACAAGGGGCAAAATCCTTTAATTTCAGTTTCAGGTAATTTAAAATAGTTCTTTTTCCAAGTCAAAATTGGACAGTAATGACAGACAAAAGTGATTTAGTCCTACAAACAGCAAATTAACCCAAGGAAGCAAATAAATCTCTTGTACATTTCTTAACATGAATTGTACAGAAAAATTAAAAAAAAATTATATCACCAGCCCAATAGTGCCAATCCCCACTCAACCTTCACTGTACCGTTAACTATACTTTAGTATACAAAGAAGAACTATGAGGTAAAAATCATCCAGCTGCTCTTTATACAAATAACAAAAAATGCCAAGAAAGTAAATTATACAAAGCTGTGATTCCCATTTCTTATCATTTTGAAGCCCTAAAAAGCTGGCTTCCAAGGGTCACAACAGGCGTTCCTTCTCCCATAATTGTTGTCAAGCTCATTTCTTTCTCAAGTATACGATCCAGTTCCGTTACTGCATAGCTCATTTTGGGACGCTTCTCACTTGAAGGGAATACACAATGCATTATTAACTGTAAGAACTCTTCCATGCCTTTTGTAGTAAAGCTATTTCCCAATCTCTGATCAATGATGGTAGAAATACTGCCAGATTCCTGAAGATTTTGCATCTGAGAAAATAGAAGAAAGAAACGTATAAGATGCACCTGCATTTGTTAGCTGCTCATCTAATGCATTAATAACAAGAGCTTTAGCCCTTGTTTAGCACGCTCTTAATATCCATCTTGTATAACAAGGAACACAACTTTAGTACCAGCGTATATGTCGTGATCAAATGTCCAACGATGTATAGATATGAAATAACATTGTGTGAGAAACAACTAGATACCCATTCAACAAGGTTTTGATTGATGTCCGAAGAAAGCAAGTCTCTTGCTTCCTGCCCACTTACTAATTCCAAAAGGAATATCCCAAAACTGTAGACATCACTTTTTTCCGAAAATTGTCTGAACTC